AAACTGGGGGGCAGTTGGCGGGGGGGCAGCAATCACTGCTTGGGGACAGGCTGGGCATCGGTCAGCATGTGGTGAGCAATTGCAATGTGCATCACTTGTTCTGTATGTTCTATTATTATTGTTGTTATTATTATTATTTTCTCTTCCTCTGCTGTCCTATTAAACTGCCTTTATCTCAATCCACAGGTTTTACTTTTTTTTCCCGATTCTCTCCCCCATCCCACTGTGGGGGGCAGGGAGGGTGAGCGAGCGTCCGTCTGGTGCTCAGTTGCCAACTGGGGTTAAACCACGACACCATCACTACTAGGCTCTACAGCAGCACGGTGACAGTGGGTACTGTTCAGTCAGGCTCAATGAGATCAGAGAACCCACCTCTGTAGTCCTCAGCACTACTGTCACCAATGTAAGAACTCATTTTTTCAGTATACAAAAAGAAAGGCAAATTAATTAAGATTATGTTCAAGTGCCATTATACCCACATGCAAATAAACAACCAATCCTAGTGAAATAGCCCAATTGCTTCAAGCTAAGAAGGGTTAAAGAGAGAAAAGAATATATAGTTCCATACACATTAATAAATTCAGTCTTTTCAATTAATTGAGAGACAGGGAGTACTGTTTGATAGAAAGAACTGGTCAAACTACATAAGGAAAGACTTGGTATGTTTAACTAACTTACAGAAGACATCATTCTCCTCCCCAGCTCCTCCTCCTGGGGAATATGGACATTTCACCCTGGGAAGCAAAGCCAGTTTTCTTTTTGACCTGCCTATATACAAGAGAAAACGTTATCATTTTGTCCTCTGCTCATTTGCCTAACCCTGTCCCCAAGATGTCTGGCTTTTTCCTTGTGAAGAGCACAGTCAACAGTAGCTTTTTTTCCAAAGGAGACACATTTCTAGGGGTTCTGCAGTTTAAATCCTTAAGCATCTTTAGGCACAATAACACCAGGCTCTGTGCTTTGTGCCCTCTTCCTCAGGAACGGTACCATCAGCTCTGTGTTTTCCTTGGAGTGAAGCAGCAGAGAAGCATTGGTGCCCTGGCTAACTTACGCCAGCTATGACTGTACTATCATTACCACATCTGGATAGCGCCAGATCACAGAGAGTACAAACCTGGCGCTGGCTAGGCATACACTCCAAGCACTTTCTCAGTCATGGAGTGGTGTTGCCCTTTGACCGACATGGTGATTACCAACGGCCAGAATATTAAGCACCTGCAGGGTTAGATGCAGATGAGCAACAGCTTTGAAGATGCCTATGGCATGCACAGGCCTGCTGAGGGGTCCCTACAGAGGTCTGAGCCCTAATACCTCTGTAGGCTCACTGTAGGATGGCTTAAATTCAATAGCTGAGGATTTTCTTTACAGCATTAAAAGTCTTAAATGCCCATAAGAAATACAAATCCCCCCATAGCTGCAGTAGCTATCATATCTCCTGGATCATGCCCTAGCAGAATTGCAAGAGCCATCTGATACAGCAACTCATAATTTTCACTTCCACACTTAGACTGGAAATTAAATTAATTTGGCTGACAATGCAATGAAGTATATTGACCCAATTAGAAGAAAAGAAAAAACACAGGAAAGGAGATCATCTCTGCTCCCTACTATTCCTTGGAAATAAAGCAACGCATGCTTTGATTCAGGACACAAGATCCAAGTTTTGTGAGCTGGAACTCCTTTTCAGCCTCTTCCCTTGTATCCCTGCTCAGCTTCATCTTGAGGTAGAAATGACAGGTTCACTGCAGAGTGTATTCCCTCCTGGCTGCTCTGCTGTAGTCCTGAGGTTTGGCCAAAGCTGTTAGAAACAATATGCACAGATCTGAGGGATACCTTAAGTTTGTGCTGAGAATTTAATTCCCTTTTGATGAATTAATAAAACCACTAGTTTGATTTCATTTAGGTTAAGTCTTAGCTATCTGGTGAGATTTCACCTTTGACCTCTATGGATCAAAAGCATGTTTTGATGCAGACATTTAGGAGACAATTTGAGTTTTCCCTGTCCTTCTGAAAGCTAAAATTATTAAAGAAGGACTGGAGAGTTAAGTTTGTCACATATCCTGTGCAATAAGAGATCCCCATATTTCATCTCATGTCCTATATTGGATTACTCCTAAAAGTCAATTGCATGACTAAATTCAGTATCACAGACAGATGCTATAAACTTCTTGTCCAGGCCCTCATAGACCTGGACTTTTTCTTTTGATAACATCAGTTCATTAACATCACTGAATGCTAGCGACCTGCAGAGAGCTCCTTTTCCTCACCAGTCCTTACAGGTGTTGAACAGTTCACCTTTTGTAGGCATTAGGCATATGTGGATTTTTTTTTTCTCTGTAAATATATGAATACAAATTTTTTTATTATATGATCTGCACAACTACATTAATTGTTAGGACTGATACGATACCAAACTACCTTTGAATGTCTGAAATAAAATGGAATGATAGCTAGCTGCTCCTTAGGTCAGCTCAGTGCAAGAGCTGGGAAGTTATGTGTTTACATACTTGCATAAGCATGTGCTTTGGAGACAGGTTCCTCCTGTTACCTTACAGCTTGAAAGTGCTGGTTGCAACACCGTTCCTTACCAATATGGTTTACCTTGAAATGTTGTCCCAATAAACAAGCATCTCCTCTGGTTTGTTTATAACCAGGTATTCATTGCGGAATCATTTCACCTTCCCTTTCCCATAATCTGCTGCTTTTGCCATGTAATTACTGATTACAGCATAAGACACATGGAGTTACCTTACCCACCTATTTTGCATTGGTTGGCACTTTGTTTGGAACCACAGTTCGTTGAGGCTTTCAGATCTGCCTTCAGCCTCAATAGGTGTATTTCAGCTTCACCTTTTCCTGAGATCTAAATAGAATATGCAACAGTTAATTGTGCGTGGAAGTACATAACTTCCACACAATTATTATTAGCACTGACAGTGTAGAATTTTCCACCATATTTCTTGGTGTAAGTTACATCAAATTATGTGAACTACCATTTTATTTCAGCTGAAGTGAAAAATGCCCCATGATTCCCCATAAACTGTAATTTGAATTGTGTCTACAACACAGATGTGTGGACGAGAGCACACCGTGACTTTATTCAAATTCTTTCCTTCTATGACTTGCCGATAAACAAGGCAAGACCTTCAGTATCACTTATTCAAAATGCAAAGGACAGCAAATAAGTAGTGCCCTCTTCATTTGCCTTTTTACATAAACAGTGCACGGAAGACGTCACGGTGCTCGGGACAGGCTGGGAACATAACAGGAAAAGCAGAGTCTTACAGGGCTAAGCAGGAACATGGCATTCAATCTTGGAAAAAAAACGCTGACACTACAGAGGTGGGGGACTGGAGTTTTAAGTCTGAATAATGTATGTACGGAAAACTGAGGAACCACAACTGTCATTTTAAAGATGTGGAACAATGATAATAAGATTGTTTCACTCTTTTCTAGGGAGACATTTACAATCAGCATCTCCCTTTTTATTCCCATTCCAGCAAGCAGGCAAACTGGAGAAGAGTAATTTATGATATAAAGTAAGAAGTGTTTAACTTCATAACTACAACAAAGTAGCAGCAGAGGAAGGAAAGAGCACTTGCTTTTGAAGTCCTTGGCCAGGTCATTCCTCAAGTCCTAAGTGAGATGTCAACCTCCGATGCCACCTGCCCAGTCCAGGCAGGTAGAGCACGGGAGGGAAGGTGATGCAGCAGCACGGTTTCATGACGCAGGAGCAGAGGGTGGCACCCAACAGATGGCTTTGGGAAGCCACCCAGGACTGACCACACTTCCCCAGAGCCGGGTGGCCTCCACACACACACACACACACGCACAGAGCCAAAGCCCTGGGGTCGGGCTGGGCCACGGCGGGCAGGCAGGTGCGGAGCAGCCGACACCAGTGGTGAGCCTGGTGGGTCCCGCCGGCTGCAGGGGCCCGGGGCCCGGGGGGGGGGGGAGCCTGCCGA